AATACTTAAAAAATTCCAAACGTTGAGATGTAACGATAATTAGAGAAATAAAACATGATGTGATGAGGCGGGAAAATCAGGTGAAAACGAGGCTGATCACTTTTTTGAGTAGCTTGGTAGCATTTTCTAACCAACTCATTAATATTCAAGACCAGTCTGTCAATTTTGGCGAGCAGCTGATCGGAAAATCGTCCCGACGATCGAGCAACTACAATACATAACAGTAGTGTGAAGTCGTGAGTTTTTGTGATCGTTTACGTACGCAGTTACAGAGAGACGGTTTAGTCAACGTCAATTCAATCATGGAGGAATAATTCAATTGAATTAATAAACGTATATCAGTCCGATGACTTGTCTGTTTATAATTAGGCCTATGCCTAGGATTAGCACAGTCAGTGTCTACCCAGCAGCAGTAGCGCACTCCTGACCAGGACACTGCTCCAGTCCCGCAGCAGGTGAGTTCCCACGCAGCCTTATCCAGCTGACGGTAAAGTTAGTAGGTTTCTAGCCTAGAATTGTCATGCCATGGCGACTTTGTCACATTAATTTTTTTTTCTTAATATGCCTGGCCCCTAGTAGGCCTACTAATAATACTATAAGGCCAAGTTATAGGCCTGGTCCTATGAAAAACTGTCTAGAGACTAGGCCTAAATGTCTAAAAACTGCACTGTCTTAAAATAAAGGTGATGTGCTATAACACTACAGTATATCATCAGAGCCAACACCAATTCCTGTAACAATAAGATTAGTATTGATATACTGTAGGCCTAGAAGCTAGGCTACACAACAATAACGCCCCATTAAATAATAATATGGTGCATATGTTATTCCAAACCTAACTTTCAGCTGTTGTTGAAATGTGGAATTCAAATAAAATATATAACAGTATATATATTTTTTTGTAGGACAAGATATGTGATACGCCGAAACATAACACTTTGGCCACATAGATATTTGCCAGTCGCCATAATGAGACAAACATACCACAACATTTGCCATGAGTACAACCACCCAACATTGGCATCTACGAAAGAAGGTGGTACAAAGCATACAAGCACCCAAGACGTCGTTAGCAGAAACACTCTGGTTG